TTGGGTTCCCCCTTCAAGAATTTCTCTGTGCTCTCTTTCCACAGTTGTGACCTTATAACAGACTTCTCTGAGGGCTGAACATCTCCAGGGACCACCTCTATGATGGTCTGTTCTATTCCTTGCATAGTTGTCATGGCAGCAGAAACAGTCCTGAAATAAGAATGAAATTTTGGATGAACTTCTGGAAATGACTCAATGCCAGGTTCCTGCTTAATGATTAATTCCAAACTAAACCCTCCTATGTTACAATAAAAAAATCCAGCCTAGATAAGCTACAAAAATAGTTTTATTCTCTTAGTAAGAGAAGCTCTTCTATTTCTATTTTCTTAGCCTTATTTTGAATGCTTATATGTTTTCTTTAGATAGCAACAAATATTTTGGAATTCATTTTCAAATCTTGTTGAAGCATTTGTACAAGTTGACTTCATTTTCGGGAGGTTTGACCCCCAACTCACTATCTGCTCCCAAATTCACTCTCCTCACACAGTCTCTGGCTTCCATCAGATACAACATCCCCAACCCCCCACCCCACTGTGTACTACTCAACCTGAAATGCAAGACAGGATTCAAACAGTATTTGGTACTTCCCTTTCACACTCCAGTAGGCAAAGATGTCCTTAAGGGATCCCAAGATGAAAGGTGTAATCCACTCCAATGCACAACTTTTTCACTTTTTACAAAGGGCCTCTGCCATGCCTCTCAGAAATACCTTCAGACCTTGATTGTCTATTAACATTCCCCTTGTGAGTCAATTACCAAAGAGGAATCTGTAGGGTGAGTTTCTTTTTCGTTAAATACAAAATAGAGATGCACACACAAAAAGCCTAAATTTCAAGAGTTTGTTAGTAATAGATGATGATAGAGAAATGAAATCTAAGCAGGGCAAAGCCTGGCCTAAGATCCAATAATATGGAGTTCACACCTAGTTCTTTCATTAAGATGTGAATTTCTGATTAAACATTCTCTGGATTACTTTGGCAGCATCTGTGAAAGAGTGCATTGGGCACAATTGCTTTCAAGATTGTTTTTGATCTTCACACTGCTAAAAGTCTGCCTAGCTCATGGCCTGTGTGTCTCCTAAATGAAGCCAAAGATGCTTGGAGACTTATTTCAGATCACAGTCCATCTCAGAAGCAGACTATAAGCCTATCAGGCTGGGCACTCAGGCTCCATCCTCTGCCTCTCTACAAATCCTGCATGGATCAGATATTGTCTTCACTAATGGATTGTCAAGATAATATGTAGGAGACAGAGATGAATATTATGGAAGAAGGTTATTAAGAGTGTGTAAAATGATCAGTCAATAATTTAAATATTGTTTTCAGGTTTTTGATACCCTGGGAAAAGAGAAAGAATAGAAAGCAAAACAACCCCACACAGTGTCCAGATGAGGCCTTTGTCTTTTTTCAAACTTTTTTTATGTTATTATTTTACTTTTGAGAATTTCATACTTGAGTACTGTATTTACATCATTTCCATCGCACCCTCTCCTCTCTCCAACTTTTCCCATGTTCCCCCACTCCTTTCATATTCATGACCTCTTTTTCCTTAATTATTATTGTTACATATGCATATTATTATATATAATCTCTCTGTCTGTCTCTCTCTGTCTTTCTCTGTCTCTCTCTCTATATATATATAAATATAAATATATATATATAAAACAACCTGTGGGGTCCATTTAGTGTTGCTCATATGTATATATTTAGGGATAACCAGATTGATTGGATAACCCAAAAGGGAACTCATTGTTGGAGAAAACTGATTCTGCCTCTCTTAATAGCCAGTAATTGTCTGAAGTTCTTCATCTAAGGATAAATATGGCAAGATGTCCTCAAGGGTACCATAGTGACACTTACATCTTGGGAATAGCCAACAGCTGTCTAAATGGCCTTACAGAATACTCAATAGGAGGAAATTCATGCCTGGTACTGTCAACCTAGCCACCTGCCTATGGCTGGTGAGGTCCTGGACCTGGAGGAAAAAATATTGCTGCCACTTTACCAAGCCTTTGTCTTTTCTTTGTCCTTATTATTTTCATAAAAAACTGCCTCCCAAGGCACATTTAAATGTGTACTCAACTCTAATTCAAAATAATAATGTGTGTAGTGAAAGGTGATCTCATTTTACCATCTAGATGTTCTATATTCATCCAGTAAATTAAAAGCCATCATACTGATGCAAAACCCTGCACCTACCTTCTTCCAGCCTGCAATGCCTTGCTGTCTGTGTCTGATGAAGGGCAGGCTCTGGGATAGCTCCTCAGAGTCTTTGTTCAGATGCAGTGCCCACCCAACACTCAGCTGAAATTTGCATGCTGCTTCTATGACCTTTCTAAATCATAAAGGCTGTGGTATGAATTTCTGAAAAGCACACCTACTTCCTGCTCTTTCTACAAAAGCTGTTAACTGACTTTCGATTCCTCAACTAGGGTGTGTAAGTTTACTGTGAAATACACTCAAAAAGAGTGGCAAATTGGTTTTCTTTTCCATAGAAAGTGAGAATGTTTATTGTGATAAGTATGAAGATTTACTCTTTGTAAAACTCTGTCAAAGGAATATAAACAAAATGCTATGATATATTAAATTGTATGACCCATTTTTGTATATTAAAATTAATAAAAAGTAAAATCAAAACTAAATAAAGCATAAATATCAAAATATAACAAATATACAATTTTAAATACTTAACATACTCAGACTAGTGTCATTTAGATGGCTTTTCAAAATCTATTTGCAAAAATTTACACATTGCTGCTACTGTGTTTTTCTACAGAATTGTGTATATAGAATTTAAATGTGCTAAGTGTACATGAAACTCCACTTTTGTTGTCAAATAAACATATTTCAAAGTAGAATTAATGTATAGGAATATTGGCATTGCTCTGTCCCCTGTGGGGATGACAGAACATCTGTGTAATTTTTTCTTGGTTGAAATAATAGCACAGGTATTAAGATCATAAATTTGAAATCTAAACTCACATAGAAATCCCTAAGATTATATCTTTATTAGCATTTTTCTACTACAATCAGATTGTCAAGAATTCCATGACCTTTTTTGGGGCTACTTTGGTTTTTGTAATCTAAATTTATTTTTTGCACTTTATACATCAGTACTGCATTTACATTATTTCCACTCCTTGTATCCCCATCCCAAGTCCTCTCATGTCCCTCCCATGCCCTCTCTAATTATGACTTCTTTAATTATTGTGAAACACACACATTATATACACACATATATATAATCTATATATTTATGTATATACATATATATTCTGCTGAGTCCATAGTGAGAGTTTCTTACTTAGATCTGGCAGTTCAAGTCAGATACTAGTATAACTGTGTATCTTCTTGGGCCTAGAGGAGAATGACTATTATCAATGTCTTTAATTTTCACCAGCACTCTCTTTTTACTGTGTGCAAGATATATACCTTTTGTTTGTTTGAGACATGATTTCTCTGTGTTGGAGATTCACCTGCCTCTGCTTCCTGAATGCTGGCATTAAAAGCACGCACCACCACTGCCTGGCAAGTAAATACTTTTTGTTCCTCATTTGAATTTCCACACCAGAGTATCTTATTTGCTCATTCAAATATATATTATAATTAAAATCTAATTACGTTATTTTCCCTTTTCTCCTCCCAACCCATCCCGTGTCCCCTCTCTCCAATCTTCTTGCTGCCCCTCATTTTCTCTCTAATTCACTGTCTTTTTCTTTGATAATTATCTTTGTAACAAGGCTGGGCGGTGGTGGCGCACGCCTTTAATCCCAGCACTCGGGAGGCAGAGCCAGGCGGATCTCTGTGAGTTCGAGGCCAGCCTGGGCTACCAAGTGAGTCCCAGGAAAGGCGCAAAGCTACACAGAGAAACCCTGTCTCGAAAAACCAAAAAAAAAAAAAAATAAATAATTTATCTTTGTAACAATAAAGCATAAATATATAAACATAATGTGTCAATTCCATGTAGTGTTGTTTGTGTGTATATGGCTTCAGGGCTGACCACTTAGTATTGGATAACCAATCAGGGGCTCATCCCTGGGGAAAACTAATTCTCCCACTATTATCAGTTGCTGTCAGCTCTTTGTTATGGGTGGTGGCTTGGTCCCTTTCCAATCCATGCTGAAATGATGACAGGTTTGATTTCATGCAGGTCTTCAGCAGGCAATCACAGTTGCTGTGTGCTCATGAGTGCTATAGCCCTGTCATGTCTAGAAGACTCTATTTTGTCTCAGTTCTCCCAGACTTCTGGCTCTTAGAGTCTCCATCTCCTATTTCCACGTTTCCTGAGCCCTGGTGGGAGAGATGTGATATAGATCCTCCATTTATTACTGAGCACCCCCAGAGACATTTGTTTTCTGCACTTTGACTAATTTTGGGTATCTACATTAATCACCATACACTGCAAAAAGTTGGGGAGAGGGTAATAGATGTGATATGAAAGCAGAATGGGAGAGATTGGGGGGAAGAAAAAGGCTGAGGGGAGGATCGGGGACCAGGGGAGGACAGCAGGGAGAAAGATAAATTAGAACCAAGTATGTAGTAAAGTGCCATAACAAAGCCATTACCTTGTATGTAAATTATTGAAATGCATAAAATAAACTTTTGAGGCACAATATGTGACAGCCAGAGCACAAGCTGTTTTACCTGTGTTCTGTCAAGTAATTGCTACTGGTCGGTGGGCTGGGTAGTGTTCTTATCCATCTTCTGAAAAGGTGTGAGGCACAGGGAGATTTTGCTGTAGTTCTGTGGTTTTTATGGGTACAAGTGAGAAAGAGGGGGTTCTCAAGATGAAAACTCATGGTGTGATATACCAGAAACCTCCTATTCTATTCCATTTTACTCTATTTCCAAACTTGATAGTTTAGATTATTTTCTCTAATATCACATGTGAATGTAGTCAGTAGCACATGGAAGCAACACTTTCTAACTTGTTTGTTCTGCAATCAAAAATAAAACATGTTTAATGTAAATCTAATAAATATATCTAGTCATGTCCTGAAATACATGGCACAAGATAAAAGTTTAATTAGGTATTGTCCTGCTTAGTAGGAAGAAGAGGAAGGGGGAGATAAAAATAAGTTGAATCTTATCTACATGCCCCAACATACGCTCACTTGGACATTGGCACACATTGACTTTGCTATGCTGTGGTACATTTTTATGGCATACAAGAGAAGTAGGACAAAAAGAAGCAAAATTCATGTTTCTGTACTTCTTGAAGGAAAAAACACATCGCCAAATTGTTTTTAAACAAAATCAAAAACCAAAGTTAGACAAACAGGAAGAACATTACACAAAGTGGCAGAAATGTGTAGTCAGTGTGAAAATCTCATGTGATTAAAATCATTTCATCCGTTTACTTTAAAACTTTCTTTGCTTATTTAAAGCACTTTTAGATTGTCTAAAGTATGAATAAAACATGGTCAAGTGCTATTTAGCTAGTAAATGGATGGTTTATTTATTCCATTCTGATATTCTTATGAAAAGCCAATGGAATGATCAGCCAAGTTCCTGAGGAAACATGAGAATGTCATTCCAAACGTACACACACACACACACACACACACACACACACACACACACACACACACACACACACACACAGAGGCATCCACATCAGAGTTGAAGTCTTGTGTTTCCCCATGTGTGGTTCTTGAAAAAAAATTCACTGCAGATTTTCTGGAACATTTTTCTCTTGGTATGCCAGTGGTACCAAACCTCCTTAAAGTGATATAGGACATGGTGTTTCTTTCGTGGGAGGACTTGATGGCATAATTACCACGACCTGTAAAGTCAATCAGATGTTGTTACATTATTCACAGACCCTCATGAATTCTTTTCTTTATCCACATATTGTACCATCACCAATGTTCACCCTGTCACTATAGAACTGAATTTCACATCAATCTGATGGATTTCTCAGGCATCCCTTAGATCAGGCTATATCTAGGACATACATTCAGTTGTAGAATTTTACCCTTTAGAAGCTTCTGGCTGCTGTTGAGTCTCAGAGTGGAATAGTATGAGATATAAGTGAGAGTGCCAGTGAATTGGTTTAAAATGATCTTTTATGGAAAATACAGAGCTCTTTTCCCAAATAATTTGCTAGTGCTGATAGCAGCAGGATACATAAATCATGACTTGGTTGCCATATGTAAAGTACTATGATAATCAGACTGGCCTGGAGTGGCAGGAAGAACCCTGAAAGCATGAGCAAATCTCGTTCTTGTTCTGCAAATCATGTAACACAGAGTTTGATAGGAATAGCTGAAGATCCCAGAGAATATTAGATTTGCATTATATGTTACATGCCATTACACATCTAGACTCAGAGCTCTTTGGGGCAATTCTTCTCAGCTTTTCTACTATTACAGAGTTCACAAGAAGCACAGACTTTCATCTAGTAAATACTAAGGTCTGAAACGTGTGAAGGAATTTGTCTATCCCAAAATTCATCACTCAGTGAAATCACAAAAACTTCAGCACTACCCAAGAAACTTACAACTCTAAGGCCTTAAATTGCAAACCCATCATAAGCTTTGCTGTGATCTAGTCCAATATTTTTCTTTAGACTGAGCCTGTGGAGATGTAGATGTAATGTTTCTTGGGAGCTCCCAGAAAGAGGAAGGGAAGGATATAGATGAATAACCAGTGATCTCATCATTTTATTATCACTTTATTATTGGCTATGAGTTTTGTCCATCACTGGACCTGTGGGCAACAAGACTATTGAGCAGCTGTAGGGTTTTACTAGCTTCTAACTCACGCTAGTGTTCTCAATACTTAAAAAATACTTAAAGAACACAATGGCCATACTTTTGTCCTTGCCTACTTCTGTCTCTTATTCCATTCCCCACTCTGTAAGATCATTTTTCTGAACAGAAGCCAGAAGGATTTGCTACATGTATCAGGGTAAGACAACGCCCAGGTAGATACCAAATGACAGAGAAGTCTTTTCCCCAGTGCTTCTTTATATCCAGGGAAGGCTGCTATGATAAGAGAGTGGAGTAAATCTGGTACCCTCTGTGGACTTCTAAGATGTGAATTGTTCTCTGTTCTGGACTTTAAGGGGGTGTCACTTGCAAGAAAAAGAATGGTAAAACTGTACTACTTTGACCATTATAAAAACAAAAATCCTGGATGTCTCTCAGTGACCCTCTCTTTTAGTGTGGATAAGACATGAGAATAGAATAGCATATCATTCCTGTGAGTAGGCCATAGATCAGTTGACTTTGAGTCAATTAATATTCTAAATGAACCTGTTCAACTTGTATGAACCAAAGGAACCTAAGACATTGGTTCCCTTAGTATCTTCAAAGAAGTGCACTGTCCTACTTTCTATACTAAAGAGGATATTAATTGTACCACATGACTATATAAGAGAAGCTTGAAGCTTTGAAGCTTCAAAGGATCCCACAGACCATCCAACTGCATGAACATGATCTTGTGGGTCCTTGAATAGAAAACTCAGGTGAGCTGTGCCCATTCTTCACCCATGGGAGCTGAGAGGTAATGAGTGAGAATTGTGTTCAGCTTCTGTGTTTGTGTGATTTATTAAAGAGTGACAAAAAACATGAAGACACATATTCAAATGAAAGCCAAAACTTACCCCACCAGGGTTACAACACATCACTCTGCATCCAAAGGCAGAGAGAGACACAGCAATGCAGAACTCCAGCACACTTAAAATGACTACCACAATATCCAGACCCTGTCAATAAATCATAATGCAAGCATGTGGGTGGTGGGAGTCACACAGTCCAAACATTTCTGCACTGAAAGAGGAGAGGCACTGGCCAAGAGCCTAGGAACACAGCTCCTGGCACAGCCTGACCCTTAATTGGTTCTTGGCATTTTAAATGTTGCATATTCTGTCACTTTTTGAAGCACATGTATTAGTTTAACCCCTGTGGAACTGTGGCCTTTCAAGGACACCTGTAGTTGATTCTTGCTAATTTCATGAGGTACAGTCCAGTTATCTCACACAGTATGATATCTACCTATTCTTTCTCATGAAGAACTCACCTAATCCGACCTCTTTGCTTATAATTCCATGCTTCATAATGTATCTTTTCCCCCAAGAATATGAGAACTTCTTGAACTAAGAGAGCTGTTTCTGAACTCTCCCAATATTAACCCTGAGATCTTACATAATTATGGGCTCCAGAGACTTGGGAGATGGCTTAGCTGGTGTTTTCTATGCAAGCATGATGGCCAGACAACAGATCCATAGCACCCCATAAGTGCCAGGTAGGCATGATGACCTGCATTCAATCCCCACATGCAGGCAGGGGATTCTTGGAGCAAAAAGAATAGTCAGACAAGCTGAATCTGAGAGCTGTGGGTTAAAGTGTTACATCCTGCCTCAAAGTGGAGCGCAATCATGAAAGACACCTGATGACAACCTTTGGCCTACACACACACACACACACACACACACACACACACACACACACACACTGGCACACATAGATATACTCCTGAGGACATACATACATATATTCATGCACAGTACACAAAATACAGACATGAAAATAAAGTGTGTATGTGCTCCAAGGTCTGTGGAATAATGTCCCTGGTGCCCAGATAGGAACATACTTGACTTCAAGCTTAATGAGGCCCTTCCTTGTAGAGGTCCTGACATAAGATGAAACAGGAATAAAATAAAACCCACACAATTCAGAAGACTTCGTGACTTTAACAAGAAGATGGCTGATTGAGATGAATTGATGATTCCATTATATAATGTGAAGAAAGCAACTGCAGAACTTATAACAAGCCCAGAGCTCTTTTAAGCATGAAGTATGGTGTGAGGTCACAGGGCCCATAGCCAAAGAAGGTACCTTACACAGCTTTCAGTTCTAGAGCTGTGTTCGTATCATTGTACCCTGGATGTCTACAAGGTAACAGGCCTACAGAAATAGCAAGCAAGACTATTAATCAGAATAACTACATAGAATAGGAGAGTTATAGGCAGGGAATTCTAGAACTTATCTTTGCCAAGTTCTGAGTGCCTTTGGAAAATTGTTCCATCTTCTAAACATTTGTATCTCATTTTGGTCGAGTGCATAGAGATTGAATTGCTCACTATAAGGACTTTTAAAATGTTCAAGGGGGGATATTAGTTATCAATGTCCCTCATGCAATTGTTTTGTGTAAATAAATAGGGCCCAAGATTCATGGACTTTAACTTGGAAAACAATGCAGTTTATTCTGCATAGGGAGTGAGAATGTTGATTCCCTATATTTACCTGCATTTTTTTTCTCTTTTGGTCTCATTGTACCCAGGGGTGTGAGTGTGAGATGTAACTCTCACTCCTAAATAAAGGTTTGATCAAGTTCTCCATGGTTTCTAACTTCTCATGGTGGTTCTACAATTGAGGAGTGTTACTCTTAGTTTTGTTGGGTCAGTTTGCCCCAGCCTTGCTTCAACCATAATTCCATGAAAACAGAAACCACTCACAATTAAAATGGACATGGTCATGAGACAGCTTTCTGAAGAGCTTCTATATGTACAGTAGTAGAAATGGAAAGAATAAATGCCTGGGCTCAGTGAGCTGATTATGATCCCTGAGATCGCAAACACGGAGCTGGTGATGTTCAGGCCTAGGCTACTTCGAACCTAGAAAGGAATAAAATTGATTAATTCAATATCCTCAGGTCTATCTCCACCCATCACCATAAACTCTTTAATTCTTTCCTTATACATTTCATCCTCACTGTTTTGACTAATTCAAAAGTACCTTAATTTGCCTCTACCATTATTTTCAACTCAACTCTCTTGTCAAAACAAAAATGTGAATGTCATGTCTACAACTAAATCTTTCCAGATTACTCCTACAGAGACACGAAGCATACTCCAAGTTCCTCCTACCAAGGATTTCAAAACTACTATACTTTTAAAATAAGTTTATTTATTTAATTTGGGATGAGTGTGCCTGTAGAGGTCAAAGAACTTTTGGGAGCTAGCTCTCTCCTCCCACCATGCTGGGGTAGGCTGTCTCTTTTTATTTATGAAGCTGTGCAGCCCAGCTAGCCTCCTGTGTGTCCTCAGGCTGTCAGGCTCGGCACGTTCACCTGCTAAGTCATCTCGCTGGGCTGTCTATTATACTCTAGCAGAAGCAGGAGATCTCTATGTGTTGGTCTCTTACCATTCTCTGCTGCAAGATTCCCTGATTTCTTCTGTTCGGATAAATGCTGCTGGCCTCTTATTGCCCTGCCCCCTTTGCATATTTCCTTCTCTGCTGTTCATTTCTTTCCACAATTCCCTTCTAGTATTGAAAGTATATCAGCTTTTTATAAGAAGCAAAACTTCCCAGGAAAGTGTGAGTGGTTTGGTGAGAATATAGCATGGTAGTTATATACTGATGGTCACAGCTCAGGGACGTGTAGGGGCACAGATTTGGAAATGTTGTATTAAACACACTCTAGAGTTTGAGGTGTCTCTTTTGAGTAAGGAGAATGCGAGTATTGTCCTAGCTAGCGTCGTTTGTTGAGATCTTGGTTTGAGTCCTTTTCCTTGGTTTTGTGACAGATATCCTGGCATGTTATATTTTAAATTTGTCTCTTCCTGAGAAATAACTCATCGTGAAATTTGTTTTATTCAAAAATCTTTTCTGAATATAATCAGAACACACATTTTGATCAATCAGTCAATAAATGCTATGTCACTCAAATGTTTAGTGTCATGGTCATGGGTGTGGATAGTAAACTTCAAGGTACATTTGATTAATCATGTTTGATTTTTCTTATCCTGAATTCTCTACATCCTGTACCAAGATTCTCTTTAAAAATCACTGTGACACAATATTCAACTTCATGTCAGAACTTGGCTAATTTTTGGCTAAAAATTTTAGTAGGAAGATTCTTCTAGATGAAATACTAACTCCTCCTTTGTTTCTTAGATGTTAAGAAAAAATTTTTTTTTACATCCTGGCAGAACAGATGCTTTGTTATATCCCTCCTCTTTTGACACCATAATATATATATATATATACTCACCAAACCTTTTGTAGTTCTTCTTCCTGCTACAATTGAGAATGATCCTGAAATAATAAACTAGAAATAAGAGGTAAAATTCAAGTTAAAATATTTTATTCATTATTGGAAATTATAACATATTGAACCTACTCCTAAATTTGATATATATGTGAAACAGATTAACTATATTAAAAGAACCACAAAAGTTAAGAAAGTGTCCATCCGCCATCCCCCCATCCCCCCCCACTTGGTTGTAGAATATTATTTTAAGGTGTGCTACTTTTGTTTATGTTGCATTTGTTTAACTCTATGAAGCTGTGTTACTGGGCCTGTCTAAAACACCTGGTGGTCAAATAAAGAGCTAAATGGCCAATAGTGAAGCAGGAGATAGAAATAGGTGGGACTGGCAGGCAGAGAGTATAAATAGAAGGAGAAATCTGGGAGGGAAAAAGGAAGTAGCTAGAGAAGGAGGAGGACTCCAGGGGCCAGTCACCCAGCTACACATCAAGCCATGGAGTAGAGTAAGATTTACAGAAGTAAGAGAATGGGGAAAGCCCTGAGGCTAAGTTAAGAAAAGCTGACAAGAAACAAGCCAAGCTAAGGCTGAGCATTTATAAGTAAGAATAAGCCTCCATATATGATTTATTTGGGAGCTGGGTGGTGGGCCCCCAAAAGAGCAAAAACAACCAACAACACCCCCTTTTCCTAGAAAACAGAAGAATTCTACCATACAGGTCACTGGTACAATTCATCAATGTTTTAAATTCTTTGACAATTTCATACATGTATATATTAAGTGATGGTCATTTCACCTCCTCATCCCATTACACTCTCTCATTCACTCTTTTCCACTGAAGCTCTTCTTCCTAATAATTTTAAGTATAAACACATACACACACACACACACACACACACACACACACACACACACACACACACACACACCAAAATTGCTATTAAGACTGTTTAAGAGCCCTGCGACATAAATTTCTAAAAAAAAAAAAATTCTAAATCTCTAAAGTGAATTACTGTTCATATAGCAACAAAATTTAAGGATTTATTAAACAAAGAAAGGGACTAAATATTACACTTATTTAAATAGCTACTTGGTCAGTCACCTAGCCAGAGGAACACCACTCAGGAGTTATGACTCACTTTAAATCATGCTAAAGAGATAGAAGAAATAATTATCCCTTTAATGACATACTGTGCTTTTCTTTCCCAGAATCCTATTCAACTAGGTCTGTCCACTTGTCTGAGTCTTGACTCAGAAAAGACTTAACTATTTCTTTTTTCTTCTTTTTTGTCTCCTTCATGCATGCTGGCCAGAGTCCAAGTATCTTTTTTATTTGGTACTTTGGGCTTAATTGCTTTTTCTCTAAAACATCCCTCCCACCATGTGCCTGCTTGGCACTGCATGGCTGACACCCATGCCAACTTAACTCAGGTGGCATGGGTTATTATTTCCTCCTCTCAGCAACTTGGGTTCTTTCAACTTGGCAAGTGTTTTCAGTTTACCTAAAATGGCTAGTGTCAACACAGTTGGACTCACCTGCTTTCACAGTTCTCCTATATAGGTTTCAAAGGTAACTTTTCACATTTGATTTTACATTTAAATACATTGTCTTCATTCCAAAATGGGTGAACTAATGAAATAGTTTGAAAAACTTATTCTTCAACACATTTCTAATGTTAGGATGTTAGCTGATTCATGTAAATGTAATCAACAGTTGGTGGGAGGTGAACACAGAGACTATTTGTCACAGTATCTAAAATACGTTATGAGTATATGGTATGGTCTTCCAAATGGTACTGTTGGTTGGATCTTGAGTGTCTCTCAAGGCCTTTGTGTTAAAGGCTTGGTTCCTCCTTATCATGTGCTGCTTGATTGTGGTGGTGCTTTTAAGAAGTGAGACTTAGAAAGAGGTTTTCTGATTAAGAGGCAAGCCTGTAAAAAGGGTAGTAGTGGTGAATATTAGCAATAAACAGTGGTATCCATGTGATGACCATTATTTTGTATCTTTAGTACTAAATGAAAATAAACAAAAGCAAGATAATGGATACTTCAGTATCAACCTACATAATTATCTGAGAAAGACACTTGAATGTGGTTATTAAAATAACTATTTAGATAAACCCTCCTCTTTCTTGCTAATTGGACTCCCGGAGCTCCACCCGGGGCCTAGCCATGGATCTCTGCATCCAGTTCCCTCAGTCATTGGATGGGGATTCTAGCATGACAATTAGGGTATTTGGTCATTCCATCACCAGAGTAGGTCAGTTCGGGCTGTCTCTCGACCATTGCCAGCAGTCTATTGTGGGGGTATCCTTGTGGATTTCTGTGGGCCTCTCTAGCACTTTGCTTCTTCCTATTCTCATGTGGTCTTCATTTACCATGGTCTCCTATTTCTTGTTCTCCCTCTCTGTTGTTGATCCAGCTGGGATCTCCCACTCCCCCAAGCTCTCTTTCCCTTGACCCTCGCCCTTCATTACCCCCACTCATGTCCAGGCTGTTCATGTAGATCTCATCCATTTGTCCATCACTGGGTGATGAGCAAGAATTGTTGAGGCCAAGGTTGGATAAAGCACAGGGACAAATAGCCAAACGAATGGAAACACATGAACTATGAACTAATGGCTGAGGGGCCCCCATCTGGATCAGGCCCTCTGAATGGGTGAGATAGTCGATTGACTTGATCTGTTTGGGAGGCATCGAGGCAGTGGGACCGGGTCCTGTGCTCATTGCATGAGTTGGCTGTTTGAAACCTGGGGCTTATACAGGGTTGCTTGGCTCAGCCTGGGAGGAGGGGACTGGACCTGTCTGGACTGAGTCTACCAGGTTAATCTCAGTCCTTGGTGGAGGCTTTGCCCTGGAGGAGGTGGGAATGGGGGGTAGGCTGGGGGGAAGGGGAGGGGGGCTGGAGCGGGGAGAACAAGGGAATCCATGGCTGATATGTAGAACTGAATTGTATTGTAAAATAAAATTAAATTAAATTAAAAAAAGAAACAGAAAAAATAACTATTTAGATATTAATATAACTTACAGTGCCAACATCTAAGACTATCACTTAAAACTAGTATAAATAACTAAGCACTCAATAAGGCACATGGGAATATATTCTATTCATTTTATTCATTCTTCCATGAATTTGACAAAAGGAGAACTAAAGAAGTGAATAACAATTGGCACAAGTTATTGATAGCAAATCCTTCACCCTTGTTAACAGCTGTTTTGAAAATATGCATTGAAATATCTATCAGAAATGAGATATATGAATAAGTCAGATTGATCTACCAGCAATACTCATTGAGTAGTTTGCACAGCTGAACTAAACAACACTGGAAATGATAAGTTGCTGGCCTTCATCATGTGAAAGAATTAATGTTAACACATGTCCAATTTATTCTGATCGGAGTTCATGGTTACATACTACTGCAATATATCTTCATTGATACATACTAAATTTTTAAGCTACTTGTGGCATTTATATTGTCATTGCTGTGTTATATATGAGTCAAAGGAAATTTTAAGACTTTTTTTTTCTCAAAGTTGCAGAAATACTTGATAAGACCTTATTCCATGGGTTGTTGTCCAGGGAGCCCACAGAAGCTTCCAAAACAATGCAGGCTACTGCCATTGTTTCTGGATACCTACCAGAACTAGATAGTAAAAGCCTATTGATGACGACATCACACACTATAGATACAAAGGCAGAGTAAACATTCTAGTGAAGTTCTCAGCCCTGATCATAGAAACTTCTTTCCACAGTTCAGGATGGTCAAGGTAAGTACTGAAACTGACCAAAGTTCTGAGAATAAGTGACTGGTAAATGCTTGGCTCCCAAAAAGGACATCTATGTCACACACACACACACAGAGAGAGAGAGAGAGAGAGAGAGAGAGAGAGAGAGAGAGAGAGAGAGAGAGAGAGAGCCCAGTGAATATCACAGAAGACTGAATGGAAGGCTATAGGAGCTGAAGGGTGGGAAGGAGTGTGCTGGGGTATAATCTTCAATATAACACAGCCATTGAAACCATGAACATATAGAAGCTTACACAGGCCCTGGGAAGAAGGAAAAAAGGGAGGGAGTGAGGAAAGAAGGGAGAGAGAGACAGAAAGAAAGAAGGTGGGAGGAAGACTAGTTAGGAGACAGTAGTTGGTAGTGGTGGGAGAGGGCTGAGAGGGTAGTGAGGGGGCAGGTGTAAGGACAGTGTATTATATACAAGTATTTTATCACCTATTTTTTAAAAATGACTAAATGAAAAAGAGGTAAGACCCCCCAATAAATTAATAAATTCAGAATCTTATAAACAATGTTATGCTAGACCCATTTATAGTATAAGATATCCAGCTCACCATCAGAGATCCCCAGACTGGGTACCCTATATACACCGAGACAGGGAGGATTTCATCGGCTGGCACAACAGCACTTATCATCGTGATTCCTATGCTGAGGTTCATGAGGGCAATCACAATCTGCACAACCTGGAGATGACAGCAAAGAAATAAGATCATTGACCACAGCTGTGTGCCATGTCACACTTAGACCACCACTGAGTTACTCCCATTCTCCATCTTTGATACACTAAGGTGAAGTTCTGGATCATTTTGTCTTTGTTTTTTTTTTTGTCCATGTAGCTGTGGATATAATAACTTACCAAATGCCCCACAGAACGTCTATCATTATGCCAGTAAAACCAGAAGAAATATTCCCGAGCCTTTCCCAAGATACATTTTCTGATACTCAAGATGCTACTTCCATAGCTGTTCTCCTTAGTCTCATGCTCAAACAAGAGTGACCCAGGAATTAGAAAATAATTACAGAAGGCAGGGGCAAGGAAGTAACTTGAAGAAATACAACTAGTGTTTGTTAAATAGAGTGAAAAAAAGAAGAATGAATAGCTTTAGGATCTTGGGAGCATTGAGGGGGGAAATGTTAATAAAGTGCCTTGAAATGGGAGAATCCAGGGCTGGCAAGGTGGCTCAGCAGTTAAGTGTACACACTGCTAGTTCTTGCAGAGGACTAGAGTTCTGTTCCCGGGACCCACTTCTGAAGGCTCATAACTACCAGTAACTCTAGCTCGTGGAAACTTGATGCTCTCTTCTGGATTCCACAAGCAACACACACACACACACACATACACACACACACACACACACACACACTTACAAAGTAAAAATAAATCTGTTTTAAAAGTATGGCTACTATATAATAAATAGTCTCATTACATTAGAATACAAAAGAATGGAAAATTATAAAACTTGGGAGATTCAAGAAAGGGAATACATGGAAGTTAGAATGTATAATACCACAATGTATGAGTTTTTAAAAGATGACAGATCTAAATTAACTACCTAAGTGTTCGTCTTTGGAAACCCAAGAAAGAAAAGCAGCTGAAGAAGGGAAAGTGAATCTGTGTTACTTAATCTGCAAACTTGGGAAGTGAGGGTAAGAAACCAATGGACTAAGACAAAATCTACAGTTATGTTTTTCACTGAAGAGACACAATAAAAATCTATTATCTGTTAACCAGGCCAGATAAGAAAAAAAAAGACTGAAGTCATCCATTAGTAATACCAGGTAGTATGTGCAAGTCAGATGGCCCTGGCTAAACAGAATGGGTCACAGAAGACACAGCCCCGGGAAACAGATTATGTTGGTAAGATGGGAAGTGGAGTTGATAGGAAAAATGGAAATGAAAGTGTGGGAAAGAGAGAATGATCACACTATATTATATATTTGTATGAAACTGTCAAGTAACAAAATAATAAAAATGGGAAGAAAAGAAACGGTTGAAAAGGTATTATTACAGAATCAATGGATAGTAAAAGATAGACAAACAAATACTTAGAGAAATCTGAATCTGCAAATTTGGTAACACAGATGAAATGGAGAACTTAAAAACACAATGTGCCAAAACTCAGAACAAGAAACAGAAAATCTGAATGGGCCAATGTAATTAAATAAAATAAATTAGCAATTAGTAATATTCTAAAATAGAAAGCACCAGGCAGGGGCAAAGATTTCAGAAGTGAATTCTACCAAATGCTTGACAACAAAAAAAATATGTATTTTTCTATTATCCCTTCAATAAAGTATAGGCAAAATACTTTTAACAAAAACTATCCAGCAACATTTCTAATAAACATATACACTAAAATACTCAGATAAATATTAGTAAGCTGAAAGTAACAATGTATGAAAATAACTATATACTATGACTCAGTTAGTGCTTATATCACGTTTTGAAAATTGGTTAAAACTTTAATAATCAATTTAATCTACCACATAAAAACTTTAAATCATAGGACATATCAACAAATGCAGAAATAACATTAGACAAAATCTAATACATCTGTAAAGTCTCCCTAATATGTCTTCCCAAGCATGAGCTGAACTAGGACTACAATAGACATCCCAAAGTGGACAGGAAAAAGCCCCTGAGGCCTCAATACTACATAAAGAACTACAGACAGCTAAGGAATGCTCAGAGTGACAAAAATAGTTTTCCCCAGGGAGGAGTACAACAATTGGTTATCTAATACCAAGTGGTCAACCCCAAGAACATACATACAAGTAACATTCAGACTGAGCAGCTTATATTTAGGAACATATATTTATATACATATACGTATGTAACAACAATAAATGAAAAAAGAGGTCATGAATTTGAAAGCGAACAAGGAGGGGTATACTGGGAGGGTTTGGAGGGGGAAAGGGAAGGGAAATGATATAATTATATCATAATCTCAAAAACAAGGGAAAAAGGAAATGGCTAAAATTCATCATATAAATGTATAAAAGATGTCAAATAATAAAAATAGGGAAATGACAGACTTAAGTACTATTTGGTGTTTGTTATGTGTAAATCTAACAAAGTATATAGAAACATCTATAAGGAAAATTGTAAACCTCTGATGGCTTAAGTTACCAAAGAGAGAGGATATACTAGACTCCATGTTAATGGGTAAAAAGACAATATTGTAAAAAATAACAACTCTCCTCACCTTCATATACAAATTTAATGACACTCAAAATTACCTCAATTGTTATAGTTCTCTAAAGCTGATACCCAGCGTGAACTATTACATAGTGAGTTCCAGGCCAGCATAGTGTACATAGCAATTGTGGAACCACAGGAATTCTCATCACTCCTATTTGAAATACTCAAGATGGCACAGTCTCATGAAGGGTGGGTAATTAGGCATCTTCTTCGGAACTAAATAGTTTTGCAAAATGCCAGTGTTCAGATTAAGTTTGTAACACAGAGGTTCAGCCACAGAAAGCTTGGTCCCCAGCATGGCAATGTTGAGGTAGTGGAAACTTTAAAACTAAAGTGTGATGGCTAGACTTACATCATCTTGACACAAACTAGAGACATCGGAGAGAAAACCTTAGGAAATGCCTTCATAAGATTGTGTTGTAGGCAAACCTGTAGGGCATTTTCTGAATTAGTGATTGATGGGGGAGGGCACAGTCCATTGTGCTGGTGCCGTACCTGGGCTGGGTGTCCTGGGCTCTATAAGAAAGCAGGCTGAACAAGCCATGGGGAGCAAACCAGTAAGCAGCATTCCTCCACCGACTCTACATCAGTTTCTGCCTCCAGGTTCCTATCCTGTTTGTGTTCCTGTCCTGGCTTCCTTCATTGATAGACTACATTGTAGAAGTGTAAGCCAAATAAACCCTTTCCTCCTCCAACCTGCTTTTTGGTCATGGTGTTTTGCCATAGCAATAGAAACCCTGACTAGGACAGCAAGGAAGATATTAGTGTTGGAACTATGGATTGAATATGAAATGTCTCCCACAGGCTCATGTGTTGAATGCTTCTTTCCTCAGATGTGGATGCTATTTGGGGAAGTTCTGGAAATTTTATAGGGGAGGCTTACTTGGAAGAAGTAGATCGCTCACTGATGGGTATGTCCAAGTGGTTAAGGGTAGAAACCATCCTTGTATACCATTAGGTAAACAAGCTCTTTTGTCATATGCTCCTGATGCCATGAGGTTTGAGTCAAGCAAGTGGAGTGACACAACCATGGACTGACCCTCAGAAACATGATCAAAACAAATCTTTTATCCTTGAAGTTGCTTTTCCAGTGACACATGTCATAGTGATGCAAAAATAACACACAAAATTGGTAGCGGAGAAATGATTAAACCTGGCCGTGGTAGTACTTTCCCTTTGGAACTGGCTTACAGGAGGAATTTGGAAAAGCCTTAAGCATTGTGTACGCCAAGCTTAATTGATGGTTCTGATAGGAGCTTAGAATACTGACGGTAACATAGAGTGCAGACCAGGCTCATGCGGTTTGACCTAGGGTATTGGGAATTAGACTAGAAGCCACATGTGTTATGTGTTGGGGAAAATGTATCGACAACTTCTCTATGTCCTGAGATTTTGAGTGAGGCTAGATACAAAAGCAACAGGCTAATTAACTTAGCATAGAAAAGACAACATACACTCAGGATGTACATGGATATTGCTTGCTGGCTTTTAGTCAGATTTACAATGAGACTATAAGTTAACAGAATATAATGCTTTTTTTTCAGAAGCTAAGTTCTACAAATTAAACACTAAAAACTCCAAGACCATTTGATGCATTAAGAGGCTAGCAGGACACTGTGGTTGGTGTTAAATTGGTAATCTTAGCATTTACAGCATTGTTGTTCTCTCAAAATCAACATACCCCAAGGATTTTGGGTTCTCCCTTCAAGAACTTCTCTGTCATCCTTTTCCACGAAAGTGAGTTCACATATAAAGGCTGTTGTCCCACCTTCTGGGCATCATAGCCAGCTTCCAATGCAGTGTGTTCTATTCCTTGTATGGTTATCATGGCAGTAGAAACAGTTCTAGAAGAAGAAATGTAATTTAGGGTGTCTTCCTGGAAACAGGGAGCAGGGAGTCTAAATACAATATGACACATAGATACCAATTGAGTTAAATGTGCTAGGACATGCAAATTAAGGAAACCCCATGCTATAATTCTAGTTGATGATGTACTAATCTACGTTCTGTATTCTGAACTTGATTATGTATACTCACATCTACTTGTGAATTTTCTTCATTCATATTCCTCATAATTATCATTACTTATTTTATGCCTGGATATCTCCATCTAATATTTTCTGTATAGTTAGTTTCAGGTTGCGTCTGTCTGGGAAAAGATTTTATTTTTCCTGTATTCTGAAAAACTTTTTTCCTGGTTATAACAGTCTTGGCTGTCAAGGACTCTTTTTTTTCAGTACTTTGAGCACCTCAACCTACCGTCTCTTGGACCACAGGGTATTTTGCTGAAAAAAATCCACTACAAGGCTGGTCATGATTTCCTTGTATGTGAAATGTTTTTCTCTCAATGTCTCTAAAGTTCTTCTGTCTCTGCTTTGGACAATTTCATTATAGTAAGAGAAAATATATTTGGAACACTTGTGCTAACAGGACCTAGATTTTTATGTCTCTCTTAGGACTTGGTTCTCACCAACTGTTTAATGTACTAAATCTTCTATTCTTATTTTTTTATCATTTCTCCTTCTAGTTTTATAATAAGAAAATTTATTTGTTATTAACATCCTAATAGCATCTTAGGGTCTTGTCATACTTTTAAAATTCTTTTTTTTTTGCTGTGGAATATTTCAAAAGAATCATTTTTTTAAGTCTCAGATTTTAAATTTCTGCTTGATGTAGTCTGATATTGAAACTATTGTATCTTAATTCTATTTATTGGGGTCTTCAAATGTTCTGTTTATTTTTTGTGATATGAATCTTCATCAAAATTTTTATTTGTATCATGAATTTTCTTGTTGCATTGAATTCACACACTTTGAATAAATACTCTAGCTTCACTTGCTTCGGGTTGATTTTGGAAATCACTGCATTTGCAGTGTCCCCCCTAAGAGTGCTGTGGCAATCTACGTGTCCTTCCTTCATGGAAACCCAACAATTAACTCAGCCAACCATGTTAGAAAACTGATCTTTTTTTTTTTAAATCAATAGTGCTTCTTACCTGCCCCCCATGTCCAATAAATAATTTTTCCAAATCTACATTTATTCCACTTTATCAAAGGAATTCTTCATCCTATCTGACAATCTTTAAGCATTCCCTGAGTCCATTTGATCCTTGTATATTTAATCTTACCCTACTTCATAACCACATTGGTCATTTTAAAATGCAAAACAATTTTAATTTCTTATTAAGAGAAATTCATATTTTAATCCCAATCTATATTTCTAACATTATTTTTATTTTTCCCCTTTTGATTTTTGAAGTGTCAGATATATTGGATATATTTAAGTTTTTCTACATCAACAAATTTACTGCACATTCAGCCACCTTGCAGTATTTTTCTACCACATCCCTTTTCTGCTTTGCCACCACAACAAAAAGTCCATTCTCATCTCTTCTCATGCACTGATAGTATCACATGTGCTCTGCCTTCCTTTGGACAAAACTCCCCACCACACATGAGTTACTCAGCCAACAATGGTAAGGAAGTGTTTAAAGAAATCTGTGTGACTTCCCTCATAAGCAATATAAGAAAAGGGTGTTGTGAAAGTAATGGATGTTTCTTTTCAGTCCAATTTAATATGTGCTTTGGTTTATTTGCTTTTAGCACTTATTTTTTGTCTTTATTTTTCTAGACACACATTTAGAAGATTTAGAAAATGTAGATTCTACCTAATTTTAACTATTAAAACCTAAGTAGGCCTTGCAAGCACTTCATTTGATCCCCAGTACCCACATTAAAAAAAATTAAAAAGCCAGCACAGTGGCATGAGTTTGTAATCTCCGTGCTGGGAAGGCAGAGACAGGTGGATCCCTGGGGCTTGCTGACCCACTAGCCTACCCTACTTGTCAAGTTCCAGACCAGAAAGAAACCCTGTATCAAGAAAACAAGTATACATAACCAGAGAAACGACACCCAAGGCTGACTGCTGGCCTCCGTAAGCATGGACACACATATTCACCCACGCACACATCACCATTATACCCACATGCACACTTGTGCATGCACACACATGCACACACACACACTAAATAAATACTCTAGCTCCACTTGCTTCAGGTTAATTTTGGAAATCACTGTGTTTGAAGCAAAAACAGTTGAGAGGTACAGTACGAGTCTCCTGAGAGCTCTGCAGTAGATCTCACCTCTTGCTGGAGTTCTCTAAGGAGCTAGCAGCTGCTCTCAGGCGGAGATTGCCAGTCTTTTCCTTCCCTGGATTTTGGGAGGAGTGTTGCCTTTTCCTACTTTCCCAGTTTTTGATGAGAGATGCTTTTTGTACCCTAATGATTCATTATAGGATTAGTTATTCGGGAAAACTAAAATGACCCGACCATAATGCTTAACCCTCAGTATATTTTCTTTACATTTCCAAAGCCCAGTACATCAGACAGCTTCAGGCAACAGCCACCTGTGCATCAGCAAAGCAGAGCACTCCAAATTTGTAACTTCCTTGTCACCTGCATATGTTATATGTGCAAACAGATCCCCTGTATAAGCCTGTGTGGGTAACCCATAAGAAGGTGGCCTTGTTGATAACAGTGACCTTGAGCTGCCAAGTTTCAAAATCAATCTTTGTTTCTTGTTCTGACAACTGATATTACAAGCACTGGCCTTTGCAAGTGTCTGGCAATGCATGTGGGTGTGGCAATAGTGCAAAACAGAACTGGGGATTCTTCTGAGTTTGTGGCCTCCTTTCCAGTTAGACTGGAAGCTTCTCCAGGATAGACTCTGTATCAACAGTGCCTCCTACAGTATTTCCATGATTCTCTGGTAAAGTGGGTCATGTTCTGGATATCTGAGGCTGATGTTGGCTGTTTCTAAGGAACTCTGCAGGTAAATTCACGCAGCTGCTCCCTATATTCACACCACAAAAATGTACTTTTGACACAAGGCAAATAAATTCCTCAAGGACAAAAAAATGTGTTTTTATGGTCTAGAGTTCAGTGCTCCAACTTTCATAAAAGCCAAAGAATATTACACAGACATGAAGGATAGTTTTCCAGGCTACGGAGGGATCTTCCAAGGTTTTACATTATCTATGAGACATTTATGAGACTTTTAGCACATATAGTGTCTTTATTTTTTTTATCCATAGTAGAGAGATGAAGAAACACGGGCAGCCCCAGTCCTTCTAATAGCATCAAACTCCTTGTGGATCAGCACCAGCACCTGTCACGTTTCCTCACTTTTATATGAACATCTCTTTCATGGGTCAGAATGATCTAAAAGGAATCATGAAGAAGATGAAGAAGAAGGGTCATCCTCTCCTAGGACAAAATTATAAATAAAGTGGAGATTCAACAAGAAGTCTAAACCTGGATCGTTCTTTGTACGAGATAATGGTGGTAATGTGGGAAAAATGATGACCTGGGCAGGGCCAGTCCTGGACTAAGATCCAGTAAGTGTGGGTTATAGTTTAAGCTCATAGAAGTTTTTAGTCATTTTCTTCTTCCAAGTATGATTCATCTATCTGAGGAAAGTCTCTGCAGTTTCCTCTGACCCTTAACCAATGACCACACTAAAAATCTTCAATGGCCACACTAACAATCTTCAAGGCTTCTTTCATTCCTAGATTTTCCACAAGAAGCTTAAGTTTATGACCTGAGTCATAAACAATCTTCAAGGCTTCTTTCATTCCTAGATTTTCCACAAGAAGCTTAAGTTTATGACCTGAGTGTCCCATGCATGAATAGTGCCAAAGATTAGTGGGAACCTACATCAGCTCACAGTCTATCTCAGGATCAGGCTAAGTATGTTAGACTGGGGTCTTAACTTTCACCTAGATCATCTCCACCACATTTTGCATGTGGCAGGTAGTTTCTTAACTGATGAACCGTAGAAATAACACATGTTGGAAGAGAATAAATGCAGTGGAAGAGGGGACATTCAGAATGAATAAAATGATCAAAGGTGAAGGTACTGCTTTCTGTTTTGAAGAACAAATACAGCTAAAAATAGGTTTTAGGTCTTTTAGATCTTTTTAGATTTTAAAGATGGTGGCGGAGAATATAAATAAACTCAGCTACTGGGGAGTTTATAAGCTACTGGAAAATTCAGACAAGTCAGCACACAAATAAACATGTTAAAATTCTGGCTAATCAGTTCTCTACAAGGTAACACAGAACAAACTGAGTCCTCATCAGACCCCAATGACCCCAGTTTTGGAAATAAAGAGGAGACTTTCCAGAGATGATGCCATCCAAAACAATACCGAACCCACTTTTGGCTTTTACTAGGCCTTTATTTTTTTCTTGCCCCCCCAGCATTGCAACACAGATTGCTCCTCAAATGCCCCACAAGTACACGTCAACGTGAACTCTTCCCTCCCTTCATGTAGAACGGTGGCTTGTTCCATGTGACATGGCCTCTTTTTCCCCCCTTATTCTACTCCCAGGTGTCCTAGCATCCGAAATGAAAAACCATCATCACAAAAAGCTGTGAAAGGCAGGTTTGCACCTACCTTGTCCCTCAATTAGAAAGCCTGTTGTGTATCAGGTGAAGACCAGTCTCCAGGAATGAGCCTCAGGTTCTTTGTTCAGATGTGATGTCTTGCCCACAGCCCATGTGCCACTCAGCATTAAGTCCTGTACTTTTTCTGAATCCTAAAGGTTCCTGTGGAGGTTCTCTAAGAAACACAACTAGTTCCCCTTTTATTAGCAGAAGTATCCAATGATTCTGCCTCTTTGATGTGTGTGTGTGTTGTTTTTTGGGGGGGTGGGGGGTGGGGGAATGTACTGAAAAAGCAGTGTCTGTCACAGTCTTTCAGATCACAACAGCACAGCTTTCTCTGAGCCTATCAGTGTGTGTACTCAACAAGCCAAAGTCATCATCATAGCCCTTCAACTCATTTAAAAGCCCATTTCAGACAAGGTTGGTGGTGTATGCCTTGAGTCCCATTACCCAGGAGTCTGAGTTTGAAGGATTGTGACTCATAGCCAGCCAGAGCTTCATAGAGACAACCTCTCTCAAAACAGCAAAAACTACAAATGCCTGTTTATGACAGTTTCACACATTTTCATGTTACCTTTCTTTCCCTAGAAAACTATCTATGCATACTTTTCATGTGGGGTTTTTATAAAATCTCACTGTTTGGGATTTACCATAAATGTCCATCAAGTGGCAGCATGTTGGCTGTAAAGAAATAAGTAGTGCTTTGCAATTATTAAGTAAATAACCCCTTTCTCAGCCAAAGAAGCATTTAAGACAAATTCAATTGCAACAATTTACTACATGATCTTGTCATCCTCCAGAATCTAGGATTGTTCACTGATAAAACAAAGTAATCCTTGACTTAATGTAGGAAGTATTATTCTGTTTTCCATTACTGCATCAAAATAGTTGGTATTGTATAATTTATATAAAAATGTATTTACTTCACTCATAGTTTTGAAGTCTCAAAAGCACGACCTTGGCTCTTGCTGGTTTTTGTTAGGGCTCTCTGGGTATAACACAACAAGAAAAATGGGGAAATGGTGGGAAAGTGGCTAAGAGGTGGAGATCACATGGAGAGGTGGAAAGATGATGATGTATTGACTCACCTCTAGGCCATACCTCATAAAGTTTCCACTACCTTCACACTTCCCCACTGAAGATCATAGATTCAGCTCATGAACCTTTGAAGGGCAGCTGCATCCAAATCACAGCAAAAATGAAAGTGGTTGGCAATTTTTATTCATTCAATAATTTCTTAGACAAATTTCCATATACCAAGCAATATGCCATGAATAAGATGGTGTAGAAGGATATAAATAAACTCAGCTACTGAGGGGTTTGTAAGCTACCAGAAAATTCAGACAAGTCAACACACAAATAAACATGTTAAAATCCTGGCTAATCAGTTCTCTAAAAGGTAACATAGAACAAACTGAGGCCTCATCGGACCCCAGTGACCCCAGCTTTGGAAATAAAGAGGAAAGTTTCCAGAGGTGACATCCAAAAGGAGACCAGATGAATGAGATAACCAGACATAACAGAGTTGGGGATGGAGGGAGATCTTACATACTGATTCAGTAGTCATTCTTTCAAACTTTTACAAAGGGGCTTTAACCAAACAAAACTTTCATCAGCAGATGGACTGGAGGAAATGTGATGGTTCTCTGGTTCCAGAGGATGCTGGGGTGCAGGCTCTGTATGGCTTTTCAGTTGTGGTGAATGTCATCAGTGGCTGAGGGTGCTTCCGTGGTTGAAGCTGTAGAAATTATTAGCAAGGTTTGGGGGCAGGGGAACAAAGATTTTCTTAGTAGTAGTGGTTTGAGGGATGTTTTAGTCTCGCTTTCTCCATAATGGTGAGAACTAGCTGAAATGACCCCTCTAAGGGTTGGATCTGACCCAACCCCCTGTAGTCATAGCAGTAGCAGAATACAAAGCATGTGCTCTCAGAGTCACTGCAGATCCTGAACCTTGGGCTTAGGGGTTTCTAAAGCTCCATTTAGTACTAGACTCATTGAGGTTAGAGCCCTCGTGGTCTTAACAAGGTAGATTCATCTCAATGAGTGAATTAAAGACACAACTAATAGTAAAGACTTGAGAAAGAAGATTTATTCCATGTAGCTACATTGAGAAAACAAGAGGTACAATGAGCTCTCCCACCCCTAAGTGATTTGTCTGGGTCTCCACATGAGGTTTAAGTTGAAATAAAAGAAAGCACACATCTAAGCAGTCCTGGCCCAAGTATGGTTCCCGCACTGACTCATCATTGTTTGACTCCATTCTCCCCTGCAAGGTGGTCTGACAAGTTTTCAGAACTTCGAGAAATCTCTTCCAGGAGACAGATCCTCTTCTGTTACTGCCAGGACTTCACCCCTTCCTTTTACAGCACAAAATTCATGGGGAAAATTTCAATTTCTTGGGACCACCATTTCAAAAGTACAGTTACCAAGGGCATAGTACAAGTATCTCTTTAAAACATTCCCCTTTCTTGCAGGACAGTCACGCCTTCACCTGAAACTGTCATGGTGGCTAACAACCACACACAAAGTCGGGATCTGTCACTCTGAAGCATCCTGAAAGCTCAGGAAACAGTTTATCCATAATTATGACTTTGGAAGCAGGGGCAAAATAGTCACATGGCTCTGGAAATGAAGAAGTTTGGGCTCAGGGCATCAAGATGCAATTGCAATTTGGATCTGGAGAGTCATAAGGGCTCAATAGCAGCACATTAGGATGTTGTACCATTCAGTGGTGACTCTCAGTCCTGCTATGGTTGACAGGGCAGGGATTCAAACCTGTGAGATCAAATACACAGGAATCCAATTTTTAAGATAGGCATGACATAGTTATGACTTTGTTCAAGAAAACAGGGGATTCAGTGATATGTCTGCTTAATACCTGGGGGCAGAGGACCACTGTAGCCCAGATTCCAGCTATTCTAGTTATAGCAAGGCAAGGTGTGTTGGCTGTTTGCTCTTGATATTATAAGGGAAACCAATAAAAGAACTGAAGAACAAAGAAGAAAGCTTGAGGACAATTTTACAAGCATTTCAAAAGCAGCACTCTGAAGCAAGCAAGCTGCAAATCTCAGCAGCTGCAAATCTCAGCAGCTGCCTGAAGAAAGAAGAGAGAAAAGAGGAACAGAGACACCCAAGCCATGCCAATGAGCTAAGCACCGAGGTCATCTACCACATGGAAAATAAGCAGGCTCATTGCACAAAAAAAAAAAAAAAAAAAAAAAAAAAAAAAAAAAAAAAAAAAAACAGGCAGATGAGGGATTTGGAGAATGAGTAAGGGAGCCCAGAGTACCAGAAAAGGTACACTTAGGCTCTGACCAGCAACTGAAGGAAAGACAGAAGAAGAATCAAAGGTCCGCTTTTCTGAGAGATGGGCACTCACCAGAACCCTATGGCAGCTCTACAGCCATTGCACAGGGGTCGGGAATTCTTGGAAGGAGAAATACATTGTCTCATTAAGAGAATAATTAATCTCATCTGGTTAGCATGTTTTAAGATGGTTAGCATATCTTAAGACCTTCCTGAGGAATAGTCCCTTAGCCAGGAAATAGACCTGCCCAACTCAGATGTTAGGTCTCCACCCAGGCCAGAGATTGCATTTCTCTTGACCAGAAGGAAAGAGTTCGCTCTTAAGGGGCCTTCACTATAACACAGAGAGCAATAAACACATCTCAGCCAGCCCTACAGTTCTCCAGGAGGAAAAAGGTCTTAGAAGTGCAACTGCTTGACACAACAATTGTACTATTTCCCAAGTAGAGAAGGCATCATGTCTATCAGGTACTGGGAGGGAGGGATGACTGACTGTTTCGTTCTGTCAAGACTCCATATCCCAGAGTGGGAAATTCTGTAACTACCTCCTAAGAGGCAAGGCTGTGTATACTCATTTCCTGTGAAGGCAGAGCAACAAAGGTCATGAGGGTCCTAGTTTCATTAACACCCCCTCCAAAATAAAATATAGCCATCTGAGTAATTGTGCTCTGTATGACTTACAATATCCTTGTATTGTAGCTCTGTGTTCTCTTTCAGTTGTTTCCATGAAAATTTTTATTTGTTTATTCATTGTTTAGGGTTTTTTTTTGTAAGAAAGATGAATTTTAAGAACTTCTTGTCAACCATCCTCTTGGAGTCACTACTTTACAAATAACTTAGCAGTATAAATGGGCTGTGTTGTCTGTATAGATTAATAGCTACCATCCTACTGTCATCTGATAAACCCATGAAGGACAAACATATATACATTTGGTAAACTTTAGATGTAGCAGTGTTCAACTGACTTATGATAAAGCAGAACTCTAACAGGTTCAAAACAAGTCTGGCATAGGAGTGGATGCATCTGGAGTTCTTGAACTTGGCAAAGTTAAGAACAAATATGTAATATTCAACTTCATTATCATTTCAGTTCTGCATCAGTGGATACCTTATTTGCCTCTTTCTGTTTAGCTAGGAATAAAACCTGAATTTCAGCGCATTGTTTTGTCCCTGAATAGAAATAATAGAAAGAATGACTAATGCTTTTTAAAATCTGCAAGTATTACATACAGATCAGTGTGTTTACTATGTAATTGATTTTCATAGGAATGTGGAAAACCTTTCTGAGCCATATTTTTGGGTCAGTTTGGGTTCTTCTTTAAACAAGATCAAAGCCTGAGATATAGATTTAGTGATAATATTTCAGTTGGATGAAAACGTAAAGCAAAGACATTGTAAGTGTGTAACTCAATTATGACAAAATAATTTCATGTACATGTCTACTTCCCATATTGAAAAATAAATTAGAAGATACCTGATGCTCTGAAGACATGAATATTTTTTGCTCTTTCCTATACCATCAAGGACAGAATCTCAGCTTCTAATACCTATGATGTTTCATCTAGGTTTGATGTTTTAATAATGGAATCATTTTAGCCTGTATTATTTTTATATCTTCTTTTTGTTATTGTTGTATTATATCCTTGGACAAAATACAACCAAGAAAAAAACCTTAAGGATTGAGCTATATGCAGAAATTTGTACTTAAAATCCCAATATTGTCAGGTGTAGATGGAGGAGGATTATGAGTTCAAGGCCAGTGTGATCTGCATAGGAAGATCCTGTCTTAAAAACCTCTCAAGGATTACATTAAATATATCTAATCCTTCTCCAGTTATGAGTCTGGGAATAT